AATAGTCAACTGACTGCATAGGCCAGAAGAGAGCCAGCTGTGGAAGGCTGGCCCCGAAACCTGATTCTGCACGGTGGGTGGAGACCCGTCTAAACTATTAGGAACTTTGCCTTCCCTCCCTCCTACACCGACCTTCCCTAGGTGGTAAAGAGCCTATACACTTCGGGAGCTGGAGGAGATAGAGTACTTTGTGGCTCCTTACACATCAGGTTCAGGTTCCTGTCGGATGGGCTAAATGCCTATGAGTGTGGAGATTCTTACTTGTCATTCATACAGAAGCTGACAAAGGAGCTTCTTCAAAGTATACTGTTTCTCTGGAAAACTTGCCTGTAGTCCTAGAGAAGTGGATTACTTCCTGAACTCGCCTCAAGTGGAAGGCAACAAGGCGGTGCTTCATAAAATGTCCAGCACGCCTCCGCATCTAGTTTCCTCCCAAGGGCCTCAACATTATCAAACTAACAGGAGGTGGCATTTGTACTAAACGCCACTTACAGGCTTCGTATAATTCCTACGACTTTGAATATTATCACTGTTATTTTAACCTTGAATACTACAAATATTTGCTGTATGTCTGTTCTGTGTGTAGTATACTACAGAGTACTCTCAATTAAGATTCTTTATTTTTATTAGTATAATTTCACATGAACATAAATAAGATGCTCACCTTTGCTCAAACTTGCATTATGACTTAGGACCATGTCTGGCTATTCCTAGCAACACTAACACATACAGCAGGGTGCACACACAATAGTCTCTTTCGTCTCTCAGTCTTCAACAGCTCAGAGATACCGCAAACTAGATTTTTATTTTCCTGTTCCTGATTCAACTGTTGAAAGATATTGGTGACTTTTATTTAATGGGATAAAAATTACTCTAAGCAATAGAAATGTCAGGGATCTAAGTGTTAATGTATAGGAAAAGCAGTATACATTTAAAAGATAGCAGAGTAGACAGGATTTCTACTGGGCCTGTTCTCTATACGGAAGGGTAACTCACAGTGCTGGACAGCCTTGTTTCAAATTCTGCGCAGGGAGCTGTCTTCTGTGCACGATGGAGAATTGGTGTCTGGTGCCAGTGTGTGCTCAGTGTTTTGTTTCTCCCTTTCTACTTCTGGAATGGTGCATTGATGCAAGACTCTGCAGCCCGTTTACAGTGTGTTCAGCATGGCATGTGCATTCAGTCTGCTTATGGAATTCTGGCCTTACAGCCCGGGAAGGGTTAGAGAATTGCCATGCTCACTCCTCTATTATTAGTGTTAGTTACTAAGAAAACCTAACCTTCCAGAGGTGCCTGAAGCCATACACAGCATTGAACCCTACATATGATCTTTTTACACATACATAAGTATAATCAAGTTTAATTGCTGCTCACAGAGAGTAACAAATAATTATAATACAGTGAAATAAGAGTTATATGACTGATCTTTGTCCGAAGCAAAGACAGCTTTGGGGACTGTGGGTAACTGAAACCAGAGAAGGAAAAGCCGTACATAAGGTGACTTGTGTTGTTAGTTGGCCCAGGTGCTGCCCAGGTGACTAGCTGAATTTTCCCTGCCCTAACTTGTTCTTGGCGGGCAGGGTACCTGTGGGTCAGAAGTCTCCATTCTGGTGGCCTAGCTGAAATGGTTTCTGAGATGGTTGTCATACTGATGACCCCCCTGTCTCCCTGTACCTTTAACATCATGGTAATCCATCTTCAGCACCCCAATACCTGAGAGTTGCCATGGCAGGGACTGGAAATAACAAGTAGAAAGTGGCACTGGAATACCTTGTCTGTTCCTAGAAAAGGTGTGGATACTCATCCTTCTTTATTTAGCCCAACTCTACCACTTATTTCCATTTCTCTTTAATCTCCTGACCCCCAGGTGTTGAGAAGTTGATTTGTGGGTTTATTCAGTACTTCTGCTTTTATGTTTATTTGAATTTTGTCTTACTGATAATTTAACATTTCCATTCTTGGTCATCGTCCCTTCTCCAGTAGCACTAGGTCTGGTTGGTCCCACATTTCTGAGAGTTAAGAATGACCCAATTTAGTACAGTGACTGATAATACTTGTGTTAATTCTTAGAGTCAGTGTGGCATAGAAGACCTCCACACTGTTGTTATTTTCTCTTTAGCGTTGTTTCTCTCTGTGGCATTCAAGGAAGCAGTTAGGGAAGGAATGAGATCCAGCAGCATCATAGCTCATTGATTGTGGCTTCAGACGTCGTATATGGGAAAGCTTTTGCTTGCTGTGTCAGTTTTGTTATCACTCATTCCTTATATGACTGTGCCAAGTGCCATTTTAGCTAAGGTTCCGTGGTGTTTTGTGGTGGCAAGTGCTGCACTAGAGTAATGAAATGAGTAATTCTAAAGACTACTTTTTGAAAGGTGAGAGGACAGAAACCTTGTTTTGTTTTATATTTTCTTATTTAAAATTGAAAAGTGCTCGAGAACTTTTAATAAGATTACATTCAAATTTAGGCATTATAAAAAAGTTAGTTTTTCTTTCTCATGTAGTAAATATTCTGATATTTTCTATTCTGTTTGCTTCATGAGATCACAGGATCGTTATTTTCAATAAAAAGTCTGGAGTGTTGCCATCTTCAGGGTTGTTCACTTAGAGGATTTAAAACAGATTGGATTTGAGCTCTTTGATCTTTTGCCCTCCTTGATGCTTTTAAATTTGAGACTTGGATTTCTAAAATTTAGGATTTCAGAAAGACTAAGAAACTAACCAAAGTCATTTCAGTTTAGTCATTAGTATAATGACTACAGATATTCTTGCTTATTTTGGACACAGATAAATGATGCAGACCCAGTAAGCTAAGAGTTATCTGTTAGTTGTTTTCATTTTAGAAAGCTTATTATGTGCTTAAGCTATCCATAACTGGTGATGCCAGGCCAAAGAGTAAAAGAGGAAGATTTCTTCTGACTAGCAGAAGCAACGTAGGGAAGAGAACTTTCCTGGTCTGTCCATGGAAGTGGGAGCTGCTGGTGACAGAGTGATCTGTCCATGAAGTGGGAACTTTTGGTATAGGAAACATGAAGATGGGAAGCAGAGATCTCAAGACCGAGCCAGAAGTAGATATAACTTTCAAGGTATGCCCCCAGTGACCCACCTTTGCCAGACATAACTTTAATCTCAAAGACTCCATGATCTCTCAAAACAGCGTTATCAATAGGGACCAAGTATTGAAGCACCTAACACTGTGGGGAGCATTTCACATTTAAACTGTGAGAATAGGCTTTAAAAGGTTAGGATCTGTGAATGCAAAAGTCAGGGGCATCCTTGTGTTCATGAGCAGACAACTTAACATACTGTGAAGACAACAGAACTGATTCAGGTAGTGAGTTCCATGTACCCCTCAGTTAAGCTAAGGAGTCCTGGGTCTGTGTGTAGGTGCTATCTGGCAGTCTTTCATGTGGACAACCCTTCCACATTCTTCCGCCTTTGTTTTCACCACATTGAGTGGTTATACCATCTTACATTTCTGTTTCACATACCTAAATCAGTATGTCACCCATTCTTGATAGGAATCTAAATTTGTCAATGAAGTGACTAGTAATATTAATTGCAGTTGTTTTATTTGTTTGGTCAGTTGGTTAGTTTTCTTTTGTATTCTAAACTAGCATTCCATTTCCCGTGGTTATAATGTTCATTCCTCTGTACGTTTTGTTGAAAAACAAAAGAGCCTCTTAAGTTATTGCTTCTGCCTGTATGGTGGCCTATGCCTGTATTCTCTGCACTAGGAAGGCTGTGGCAGGAAGATAGTGAGTTTGAGGCCAGCTTGGCTACATAGTAAGTTCAAGGCCAGCCTGGGCAAAGACCCCATCTAAAAAACCAAATACTAGCAAATCAAATTTTTGAAGTGACTAGCTTAATGCGTACCAGTACAGACCTAAGTCCACCTAACTTAAAGTACAGGTACTGACAACCAACTGTATACTCTTAGAAGGGAGCAGACAGGCTGTGGAGTAGCTTCTAGATATATTTAAGGCTGAGGTTCTGAGTTTATATGAAACATCAAGAAAAGGAAGTAGATACACTCTCACCTACCTTTTCTTTCCTCTTCCCCCCTTTTCTTTAGTAAAAATAAACCAACCTAGATTATATTATCTGGACCTGGTTTGTGTTGTGTGCCATCAGCTTGCCACATGTTCTGTATTGCTGCTGTCTTTGAAGAGTCAGCTAAGCATGTGCTTGAATAATCCAGCTCCACAACTTCTCACTTAGATTGGATAGTAGGTACTTTATTTCATTCACAGATAGTTATTCATAATCTTAACTTTCCACACCAACTCTCATTGTTTAAAGCATGCTATTTCAGAGAAAACAAAAGCAAACTCAAGTTGTACTCTGTCCACAAAAGTCTCTCTTTAGTATTTGACCTGTGATTTTTTTGTTAATAATCTACCACATGTAATAAGTGCACCAGTTGTGTTCTGCATTATAAATGGTATTGCATTCAGATAAAGGAAGTTGTCTTAAATTGCTTGTGGCACACCAAAGCTAAATCGTTGAGCCCCTAAAATAATGTCTTTATATTGGTGCATTTATGCTTTTAATCCCTGATGGAGGATGGGGAATTACAGGACTGTAGATGAATCTGCCAGGAAGTATGATCTATCTTGACTCCAATATTTAGAGAACCTCTTCACCAAACATTTCATTTCATTGAGAAAATGAGCATTAGAATACACCCTCTTCACAAATGTGGCTCTCAGCATCTCATCTCTAAAGACATCTCCTTTAGCACTTGTCAGAATGGACAACTTGACTTTTCTGTGGGCTATGGAGTAGAACAGAGGAAAAGAGGGATTGAAGAATGAGTTCCTGTCCTCTCACAATGAACTACAGACTGTGCTCTCCAGGTTTTTATATTATACAAAGGAGTTGACATATGAGCAGACGATCTGCAGTTTCTGTGACTCCTTTCCAACCTTCACATTTTCTGTGCTCTGTTTCTGAAGGTCAAGTCTGGACAAACATTCATCTCTTTCCTTTATTACTTTTCACAGGTGGAATACATGTTGGTGTCCTTTGATCATGAAAATAGAAAAGTCCAGTTGTTCCTGAATGGAGAAGATGTTCTTGAAACTCTGCAGGAGAAGGGGGAAAGAATAAACCCCAAGTAAGCTGATACACTCAAGACTCAGCCTAGTACCTCTGCAGTCTTTGAAGTAACTAAGACAGGATCTTTTCTTAGATGTCTAGAAGCCAGGATGAGAAAGAGTAAGAGTGTAACGGGCTTGGTCCTAAGTTAGAGTCTCCATTTCTTGTTCATCTACTTGGTGGCTGAGTAGCCTTGAACAGGTTAGCTGTCCTCTTTATTCCTTAGTTCCTCATCTCTATAAAGTGTGAATAACAATAGTTAACCATATAGGCCTTTCAGAACACTCACCACAGTCAGTGACAATGTAGACACTTACTATTTTTTACATTTGTTTGTTTGTTTAATGTATATGAGTGCTCTTTCTGCATGTATACCTGCACGCCAGAAGAGAGCATCAGATCCCAGGATAGATGGTTGTGAGCCACCATGTGGTTGCTGGGAATTGAACTCAGGACCTCTGGAAGAGCAGACAGTGCTCTTAACCTCTGAGCGGTCTCTCCAGCCCCCACTTACTTGTTCTTAAAGACACATTTCTGAAAAATGGTTGCGATCCACAGCAGAGCTCCAGACAAAACTGGGGGCAGTTTTGTTTTAGCAACATGATGTTTAAATATTCCTTTCTTCTTTTGTTTTGTTTTGTTTTTTAAGATACGGTTTCTCTGAGTAGCCCTGGCTGACCCTGAGCTTGCTCTGTAGACTGAGCCAATCTCAAAGTTGGGAATCTGCCTGTCTTTGCCTCCCAAGTGCTGGGATTAAAGGTGTGCACCACCACACTTGACTTTTTTTTTTTTTCTTTTTTTTTTTCCTGGCTAAATATTTTTCTACCTGGGAGCAGAGAAGGGGCCAAGAACGTCTAGTCTCTCATTCATTTTCTATTTAGTTGTTTGGAAAGCTGCACTTGAGGACTGTGGCATTGAGCTGAAAGTTTGTAAGACGTCAGTTCCTTTGTGGTAAAGTGGGCTAGCTTTGTCCTGGACCAGAGTACCTGTGTGCATTTTCAGATACTTATAAATATTTTGAACTCAAATACTTAGCAACCTTAAGTAGTTGAAAAGCTGTGGAATTTTACAGCTTTTAATAGCCTTTTTTCAATTGTGTCTAATAGCTCTAAATTTTTTTAAGGCAACTTTATAATTTTTCTAAAAATTGAGTGGAACACAGCCAAAGAATAAGCTGAAACTAAAATGACTTCTCTATAGCCACCCAACCCTCTGGAGACCGGAGTATGGGAGCTACATGATTGAAGGGACACCTGGCCAGCCCTATGGAGGAACAATGTCGGAGTTCAACACAGTGGAGGACAACATGAGGAAACGCCGGAAGGAGGCTACCTCTGTATTGGGAGAAAACCAGGCGCTTTGCACGATAACTTCATTTCCCAGGTCAGTTCCTACACCAGTGTGTCGTAGCAGGAGTATCAGACTGGAGGTATGAAGAAAGTGAATAATGACCCAGCATTTCCCTCCATAGTTCTTACACTTAAAGGTAGTTCATTCTGTTGAACTGTGCAGCACTGTCGTCGTCAACGTTCACTTTAAGGAATTGCACGACTTCAGTTGGTGGGTGGCCTGCACACTGGTAAGAGCACACATGCGGGCTGGGTTGAAATGACCCTGTGACTAGTGACTGGTTGGCAGTGTGGGGAGGAGCCAAGCCTTCTGGGCTCCTCTCACTGGACTGTAGCAGTTGTGTTTGCACATACATTCTCAAAGGAGCATCTCCTCTCCTGTACTCAGTGAGGTCTCTTGAGCCGTGCGTAGATCCCAACCCCAGAGTCCTTTTGAACTTTGAGGAGGGAACCTACTCTCACAGTCTGGCAGATACCACAGTAAGCAAGACCATGGGGAGCAGTTCTGGAGCACCCTAGTGCTCTTGTTCCTGCTCAACTCTTGCCAGACACAAGCTGAGCCACATTGGCATTGTGCTGGAAATTTAGGGCTTTTCACCAAATCTAGTTGGGATAGTAACTCCCAGTAAGTAAGCATAGTAGAAGTGTGTTTGCAGATTAGAAGGGTACACAGATATCCAAATATCATGTCCCTAAGTAGACCAGAGTTCTACTCAGGAACCTCATTTATCTATGCTAGATGCTTGTCTCCTCCATCAAAAGAGCTATGGGGGAATCCATAGCCTTTAAACACTAAACCATTCATTCAGAATCATTGAAACAGTAATGCCAATTATCAGACACTTAGAGACTTTGAGTGCCTTTTCTGTATCAGACTCAGGCAGGCTTTGCTCTGCAGAACTGAGGAGACAGCAGAGGGTAATCAAATATCTGTTATATAAATATGTAATGATAAATTAGGGAGTGCCATAGGGTGTGGATATGGCTATGTGATGGATTTTGTGATGGAGGAAGGCCTCTCCAAGGGAAGATGACTGGAGTGGTGTCCAGAGCTCTAGAAGGAGTTTCGTAGGAGAGGGAGTAAGGATGCCTCTTCCTCTGGTTGCACAGGAGTTACAGTACACAGTACGGTGGGAAACCAGGAAGCTGGGTGCAGGTGACGGGGAGGCTGGGCAGGCTGTCTTGAACTCTGATTGTTATTCTGAAAGTGCTAGAGACCTTGGGAATGTAGGCTGGCTAGATAGTATCATCTGGGCTGCTGGCATGAGAGCAAATGTATAGCAAATGCCAGGGCATGCGAGGAGAGGGAAAGGGAACTCCCTACGCACTGTTTTGGTGACCTGGTTGTGAGGGTAGACAGTGACAATGGAAAAGTGGCAGAATTAGCTAAGCTGCTGGAGGAGGGCTATCAAGGAGAGTACTGTAGGTAACTCATGGGAAACCGGAGAATGGAGTAGCAGGCTGTGGGTGTTACATGACAACTTTAGCAAATTTGAAAATGCCATGTCTTATATTTTCCTTTCTCTCCATAACATTAAGAGTTACACACCTCAGTTTAGCAAACTAAAGTGGGCAGCACAGACCAGAACTGTTTCAAAAATTTTAAGAAATGTGCAGTGTTGAAAGGTAGTGAGTGTTCTTTCTGGGCCACAGGGTAAAAGTCTTCTATGCCTCAGTTGGTGGTTCTGTATGGAATAGTTGTTCTCTGGAGAAAGGTTTGTAGTAGTAAGTTCCGTTCAAAACTGCAGTCGTTCGTTCGTTCTTTCTTTCGCTCGTTCTTTTGCTCTTTCTTTTTCTTCCTTCCATCCCTTCCTTCCTTGTTTGTTTGTTTGGAACTCACTTTCTACACCAGGCTGCCCTCAGACCCAGAGATCTGCCTGCCTCTCTCTGGTTCTAGGAAGCTAGGATTCCTCCAGGTTCATGACTGTCATTCTCCTAAAGATTTTTTTTTAAGTTCATGGGCTCAGAAAAATGTACATGACTGCATGAATGCCCAGGCAGCCTTGGTGCTAGGAACTGCTTTCCAAATGAGAGCAGCAGTGTCAGCTTCAGCTGTTAACTTGGTGGTGGACAGCCTGCAGGAACTTGACTTTATGTGAAACAAGGTCTGGGCTAGCAGTTCCTACTGCTGATCTGAAGCCTTGTCAAGAGCCTGCTTTGTTTTGCTTTCACTAACTTAGAAGGGCTGCCTTACTCAAGTGAGATGGGAATCTGAGCTCTGTAAAGACCTGTATGGAACCTGTTCTTCTGTTTTGAAATCAGAACTCTTCTTAAGGTTAAATAAGACAATAAGTTTGGATCTTGGATCAGAGGACACCCTAGTGTAAATTGGGAACATTGGAGACACTGCTTAATCTTGAGAGATTTCTGAAGAGATTGCAGAAGAAAAAACCAGGAGAACTGGTCCAGATTCATAAGGAGGTTGGAACAATGCAGTCAACAGGGTTGAAAGGTACTTTGAGCATTTTAGCTAGCAATGAGGCACCTATATGTCATAACAGCATGTGGCTAAAGGATTTGTTCTGTCCTTACGGAAGCTGAGTAATGTTTCTAGATGTTGAGTGGAGACTGGTAAAGTCAAAATCAGCTGGAATAAATAAATGAGACCCCAATATAAGACAATGGAGAACAGAAAGGGGCCACAAAGGAGCCAGCATTTACAGAATGTACATTGGTTTGGAAACACTGCTAGACCCTTTAGAGTGGGGAGTAATGGGAATTAGATGTTTTTATTGGCTGCAAATTATAGTGAGACTATAGCCAGTCAGTTTTTTAGGCTGTTTCCCACCTATTTCTTTCTCATTTGGTTGTAGACTAGGCTGCCCTGGATTCACACTGCCGGAGCACAAACCCAACCCAGAGGAAGGAGGTGCATCTAAGTCCCTCTTCTTTCCAGACGAAGCCATAAACAAGCACCCCCGTTTTGGGTGAGTGAAGCTCAGCCTTTGGGCACAGTGTTTGTCTAGGAGTCTTGCAAGCAAGTACTGGATCCCGAGGATGGATCCCGAGGAAGCAGCAGACTCATCTGCTTGTGTTGCTTCTTTCCTCCAGGTTTGCTTGTCTGTTTCAGTCATCCTTAAACTCCTTGGCTCCTTTCCTCCACTTTAATTTGTAGATCATTTTCAGTCCTAATTCTGCAAACACTTATATTGTGACATTTTTTTTGCCTGTTCCTTTCCCCTAAGTTAGCCTGGGACCTGTCACCACCCTTGTTAATCTGTATGCTGTGACAAGGTCAGATGTATGTAGCACCTAGCACAGGCCTTCTTCTTGTATATTCTAGGTCTGTAGTTTGTACTTTAATTTAGATTTTAAGTTGCTTCAGGTCCTGCACCAGCTTGATCTTGGCTTTCTTCCTGTGGACTCACCTACCTTGAAATGAAGCTCCTGGGCCAGAGTGTTTGGGGGGGGGGTACTAGAAACTCTCAGAGCTTGTTCCTTTTACAGACCCCACATCTGTCACATTCAAAGTCTTTGTAAGGGTAGACAAAGACTGACTGACTTTATTCACTCCATTCATTCGTTTGTCCATTCATTCTTTCATTCATTTAGTTGAGGCAGGGTTTATCTATAAAGCCTTGGCTGTCTTGGAATTCACTATATAGATCAGGCTGCCCCTGCCTGACTCTCTAGTACTAGGGTTAAAGCTGTGTGCCACCACGCTCTGCTAGACAAAGATTTATAAGTACAGTTTCCAATTTGAAGCATTATTATGTATTTACAGAGAAAACTACTAAACAGTAAGGAAAGATGGACTGTGACAGTTATCACAAGCTAGACCCAGAAACCCTCACAGAACAGGCTAGCACAGGAGGTCCTCATGTCCTGACTGACTGAGAGGTCAAGTCAGGCATCAGAGCAGATGACAGTCACAACCCTGTGCAAATCATTTAACAATCAATACTAACATTAAAAAAAAAAAAAAAGTGAATCGGTTTTATTGTGTATTTAACCTTATCCATCTAAGGTATTATTGCAATTTATATTCATTTTCAAAAATCTGAGGAAACTTTTTCCTTTCTTTGTGCTGTTAAAGTCATGTGTCTGCTTTAGGAACAGCCACAAGTGCTCACTGGCCATAGAGTATGCATCAGGTGAGAAATGGGTTAGTGCTGAAGAACTGGGAAACTGAGGCAGGTGAAGGATTGCGACTAACAATAACCAAAACCTAAGTTCTTAACGTTGACCAAAATCATAGGAGTTTTCATGAGAAATGTTAGCATTAGCAGGACTATGAGGTGGTCAGGCTGCTCATGACCACCTGGGCTGGATTTGGGGTTAACGTTAAGTAAATGGCAAAGAATGGCCCCTATCCAGAGCCAAGCCTCTTTCAGAAAACCGTTAGCATGTCACATGTGCACAAGACTGACTTGGGGTTCTAGTTTGAGGTATGATTAACTTCCATTCCTTTTGATGTACTCAAACTCTGTAAAGTGGCAGTTCTTGGGTGACCTTTCCTTTGTTTGGTTGTCTAGTACCCTAACAAGAAACATCCGGCATAGGAGAGGAGAAAAGGTCGTCATCAATGTGCCAAGTAAGTCTGTGGGCTTGGGTTGGGACAGCGTATTGAACCGTTATCCTTGATTCTCAACTGTTTCTTCTTCTTTTAATTAATAATACAGTATTCAAGGACAAGAATACACCATCTCCATTTGTAGAAACATTTCCTGAAGATGAGGAGGCATCAAAGGCTTCTAAGCCAGACCATATTTACATGGATGCCATGGGATTTGGGATGGGCAATTGCTGTCTTCAGGTATTACTTCTGCTACATGAAAAGGCTAAATGTCCTCTTCTTTGTGCTTACTAACTTTATGCATGTTTCTTGTTGAAAAATCACCTTTTAATCTGATTCAAAAGATAGCATGCCTTCCTAAAAAATAAGATTGTTTAGTAAAGTCTTTTGTGGCTGTCTTTTGACTAAGAATTACAGTTCACCAGAAGGTGTGTGCTTGTTACTAAACTTAAAATGCATTTGGGAATGGGTATTTGGGAATGCCCTTTCCAGATGCCTGATTTTACTGCCATCTAGTGACAGCCTTGGAGGATGTTAGTCAGGACTCAGATCTCTTTATTTGGAATCTAATGATTTTATGGTGCAAGGGGAAAAGTTGTGTGGCATTTAAATTTTTATGTTTGTCCAAAGGTACCTCATGGTTTAAAAGGAATAAATACTTAACAGCCTTTGCCTTGCCCCTGGCTAAGTTACACAAGAGAGACAATAGTACTTCTTGGTTTACTAAATTAAAAATTTTGTTGTGACTAATCAAATAACTGATGGCCTCTGGCAGTGATTGCACCCAGGCTTACTCAGGGCTGGAATGGGGAATGCAGAACCCCCACTCCCGCCTAGGCCCGTGGTGGCTTGTTGGCTCTGCCCCCGCTCAGTTTTTCAGCCTCCTTCGCAGTTTTTTTGGCTCATTTTACTAAACTGAGCTGTAGCCTTGGCACAAAAGCCACAAAACTCAGCATTCTTTTCTCAAGGCTTTAGGCGTGCATGCATTTGTCACAAAAGCCTCCAGACGGTTATTTCTAAAACTACAGATACTCCAAATTGAAAATCAGAGTCAGACTTTCCCATGCGGTATGCTTTTATAATGTGATAAAGGATAAGGTATTTTGTTTCCTCGGCATATGTAGGTAGGATCAGATAAGTGGCCTCCAAAGAGAGGCCAGTATGTTCCCTTAGAAATGGTCACACTTCATTTAAAAAGAGGCTGACTTTTGACTGCGTTATCTGCTTTCCTATCTTAAATACAAACATTTCTAAAATGGACCATTAAACTCTAGCTCTTAGAATACATGGCTTCAGTATTCTGGGTGCTCTGGGAACCCCACCTTCCTTGGTTTAATATTGAACCAGGGTCTGCTGGGGAGGCTCGGTCGCTGTAACACCATTCCAAAGGAACAGTCTCTCCTTAGATATTTTGTTTATGCAAATAAGTGAGTCCTGTGGGTAGAGATAGACATTTTCATGTGTGAATACACAGTTCTCTATTCTATTTAAGGTATGAGTTTAGAACTTCCTCCCCCAACATATCCAGTTAGAATATTCCCCTTTAAAAAGTTGTAGTCACAGATAATGAAATGTGTGATAAATGAGATGAATTCACAGATAGCTGCAAAAGTCCCTGCCTGGAACTTCTGCCTGGAACAGAAGAAACTGTTTATTATAGAAAAGTACAAAATGAAATGGAAAGTAATTTTTTTAGTTACTGGACAAAATGCAGCGTTTAACCACCTTCAAATTTGTGAGCTTGCCAAATGCTAGTGGCACTCGCCTATGATCCAGCACTACAGAAGGATTGTGAGTTCCGGGTGGCCTGGGTTCTATAAGGAGACCATCCTAAAGAAAAATCAATTGTCACTCTTCAGGCTTTCTGAGAATCACTGAATAAACAGAAAAAGTCATGGCCTGCTATGTGTTTTTCCTCCCTACTAAAGAGAAGTATGTGGCTGCGAAACTGAATTCTACACAAATTTCAGATTCCGTTTCTGACATTGGTGTTTTTATAGTTCCCCCTTTACTTCCTGTCACTGTCATAGTGGTATTTCCTCCTAGGTGATCTTTTAGGAGGGCAACAAAAGCTACAGCTTCTTGTGTTTATACCTTTGTTAAGATATCAGAGTGCCTTGGTTTTGCTTTACCCACTAAAGGTACCAACTGTGGCACTGTTCTGTTTGACTCCATGTACATAGTGTTTCAATCTAGAGGTAGGAAATAACTGCTGTTGTCATAAACAGAACTTTCAAATTTCAGTCCCTACTTTTCCTAGATTTTTCTAAAGCTGGCCTTTCCAGGATATACCTACAAATCCTTTGTTGTGTGTCTCAAACTGCCCAAGAAAACATAGTCAAACACCATCCAGAAAACATGTTCATTACAGTATCTTTGCAACACCAAAGATGGTAACACACAGTAACATACCTAAAAGTCACAGAAAGAACCGAGATCGACTAAAAAATTGTGTCCAGCAGACTGTTCATCCCAACATCTGGAAACACTGGGATCTTTTACATCTCAGAGGCTTTTAAAATATTTCATCATATCTTTTCTCCATTCCCTTCTTTATCATCCTCTTTCTTTCATGACCTCTGTCACTTTAGTAAGTAGGTAGCAGGCACTGCCATGCATTTTTGGATAGAAAATGTCAGGACAGAGTCCTACAGCTCACTCCAAGGTGGTAGAACCATATCCAGCAAGCAGTGCTCTGCATATCCAGTCTCCCTATACACGTTGGATCCTTAGTATACAGAAAGTGTTTGCATGCGTGCATGCTCAGACCACAGGCAACCTCAGGTATTATTCTTAAAGCATTGTCCGCAAGGGTCACTCATTGGCCTAGGCCACTGAGCCCTGGCAGTCTGCCTGCCTTTACCTCCCCAGCTCTGAGACTATAAACAAGTGGTTCCATACTCAACTTTTGGTGGGCTTCAAGGGTCAAACTCAGGTTCCAGTGCTAACAAGGCAAACTCATTATCCTTCTGACCTATATATATGCCTAACCTCACAAATTGGTTTCTAAGTCTCAGGTCATTGAAGAAGCTGCCTTGCCTTGCTTATCAATGGCCTTATTTCCAGATCTCCTCAATTTTTATCAACCTTTGAAACCATTTTTCCTTAATGGCTACAGGATAGCTTTCCATTTTCTTCATCTGTAGTGGCTAGTGAATTGTCATTACTTTTAATTGATATGTGCTACTCTAGCCTTAGTATAGAAACTCTAGGAAGGAAGATAATGACACCAAGTTGTTTAAGAAATTGTTTCAGCATCCAGTTGCCACATATAATTGAGCAGCTGTGCCCCCCCCCCCATGAAGCATGTTCAGTGTTAAAAGAGTCAATGGAGATAGACAGTTAAACCATTACACCTAGGATTCTTACAGTAATACGGAGATTCTTAGCAGTGCTCTCATCAGCCACTGTTATTTCAAGGTTTAAGCACATCAATTATTTCCTGCGTCAGGACCAAACTTAAAACTGTCTTTATTGAATATCCATAATTGAGGAAGTTAAAATTGTTGACAATGTGTGGTTATAACAGTTGTGTTGTTACACAAAATGCATTTCTTGGCCATCACTGCCACCCTTCCCTGTGTAGGAACACAAAACTTGGTTTCTTTGGGATGACAATCCAAGAGGATTTGTGTTATCCAACTGTGTGATTTTCTTGTAGTTTTTCAGTGCCTGTTTGCCCTTGTGAAGTTTCCTGGGTAATCTTCCTGAATTTGGAGGCATTGTCTGAACATGCTTTCCAAATAGTCTCCAGTGCAGGTTTTTTGCCCTCTGAAGTCCAGAACCTTTGAAGCCTAGCTGCTTATAGGACATTTTTATCCCCTTACATCCAGTAACGTGCCATGCCATAGCACCTGTTCCTCCTCTGCCACTTTTTCCTTCATATCTTAGGAACACAACAAAACCCAAGTCTCCTCATGCTCTGCACACCGGTCCCCAGAGCACACTTTTGTTTAGACTCAGATGCCCCATCTGCTAGCCCTGAGCTTTTTTCTTCTCACACCAGTGATTTCACTGTATTTTCTCTGGCCTTACCTCCTTTCACAGTCCCCTACAACCCCAGCTCTTCCCACCCTGCTGTGCTGCCTCCAGTATACTTGGAAAGCTGCCCATAATGTCACCAGACCTTTCTTTATACCAAAATGTTTGTAAGCCATTTGCTCTAGGAAGCCAACAAGAGGCCAAGCTCTGCTGCCTCTTTTCTCTTTCCTGACATGATAGTGCTTTTGGCTTACAATGATGTTTGTGAGGTATCCCTGAGCAGTGGGACATGATTACATACCTTTCTTGGGTAAGTTCACCCAAGACAACTTCTAAACCAGGCTCATACCTGAAGCCTTCTTCATCTTTTCTCCACCCATCCCTTCTCAGACTTACTGCTTGTGGGGCCTGATAATGACTTTATGTTCCAGTTTTAATAATTTTTATTCTTAAACAGGTAACATTCCAAGCCTGCAGCATATCTGAGGCCAGATACCTTTATGACCAGCTGGCTACTATCTGCCCAATTGTTGTAAGTAGAAAGTATATCTTTCCTTAAATACATCTTACTAGAAAATAAGAGCACATGTACTAGTTAATGAACACAGAGAAGGAAAACTGAGGAGCCAAGTTATAGTACCTTATTGCTGTTCATACTAAGTGTGTGACCATACTTTCTCCCTCTACTAGTATGTCCTTATGTTACAGAAGGTGTGATTTTAATGAATACAAGCCTTGGAGGTCTTTCTTGTACATGCTCTTTATAAAGAGCAGCTGGAAATACATGCAGGAGGTGGTGGGAGCCTTCTCTGTGTACGCAGCACTTTGACCCTGTACCTGCTGACTTGTATTTCTAGATGGCTTTGAGTGCTGCATCTCCATTTTACCGAGGCTATGTATCAGACATTGACTGTCGCTGGGGAGTCATTTCTGCATCTGTTGATGATAGAACACGGGAGGAGAGAGGACTGGAGGTAAGAATGATTCTTCTCCTTCATAGATCCTTTACACCACAAAGGTGATGTGCGCTTATTGTAACCACTTGGCATTCTGAAGTCTCCCTTAGATCCTTACCCTCTGGGTGTTCACATAAGGGAAGAGAATGCAAGTGGTGAGCCCTGCTCTGTTTAACATGGGTACAGGAGGAGGAGGAGGGGAGTTGGCTTGGGTGGGAAGTCAGTTTTTATCCTTGCCCGAAGTATATGTAGTTTTGTTTTCTTTTTGCAGTAGTGCCTGTTTTGTGTTGTGGCAGTCACACTGATGGCTGTTTTACCAAAAGGCTCTGCTCGCTGTGTGAACACTTTGTACCCAATGGCTTCTGCTGGGAAGTTCAATTTGTTGTCAGATGATTGTCTCATTTGAAGGCTTAGGCTCTGCCTGTAAGGACGGGTTAGCATTGGTAGCATTTTTTGTCCTGTGTCCCTTAGACTCTGCACTCCAGGAGTGTGCACCACCCCCCTGCAGAGAGCCAGGCACCCAGATTTATCCCAGATGATACTCTCAGGACAAGGACTGGGCTGGAGGTCACGGTTTTTAAAGACTTCCATAACTGATGTCTCCACTAAGGGCATTTCTGCTCTGGCCCTTTCATAGTCATTCACAAATTATTGAACATATTCTATAAATAGAAATAAACATGCAATGTGTGTGAAAGAAAAAGGGCTGGGGAGGGCAGACGCACCTCAGCATATGTATAGAGGTCAGAGAACGACATTGAAAGTCATTTTTTTTTCCACTATGAGTTTCAAGTATTGAATGTGGGTCCCTAGGCAAATGTGCTCCTACATAATTACCTAGGTGTTAATTTCCCATCATTTCTTCTGTTGTAGCCTCTGAAGAACAATCGTTTTAGGATTAGTAAATCTCGGTATGATTCAATAGATAGCTACCTCTCTAAGTGTGGTGAGAAATACAATGACATCGATCTGACCATTGATAAAGAAATCTACGAGCAGCTCTTACAGGAAGGTGAGCAGCCCCCCACATTCCTAACTTGATCATTGCACCTTTTGTTCTTCAAAGCACTTTAAACTTTTTTGCTGACTCCTGGTCTGGTTTCTGTTTTTAGTGTGAAGTCTCTAACTTTTCTTATGAGGCTGCTTGTTCCTAAAGTTTCAAGTTCCAAATGCTTGTGAGATCTTCTTGACTTTTAGCAAAAGGAACTTTTTGGAGCTCTGTATCTAGGTCCACACCAGTGCCCAGCAGGCATTGTGTGAGGAGTGAGTAAACTCCGGCTCTTCCCCAGTGTCCTAGGATAAAACCCTGGGCAAGGTGAGAGCACTGAACCACCCAGTCATTCCCTAAGCTTCTAGACCCCCTTCTTCAGTCTGTGGACTTAGAAATTCTCCAGGGCCTTTCCCTTTGCAGTTAGTCCCCTGCGGTCTGTCTTTGCAGGTATTGACCATCTTCTGGCACAGCACGTTGCTCATCTTTTTATTAGAGACCCGCTCACCCTTTTTGAAGAGAAAATAAACCTGGATGATGCCAATGAGTCGGACCATTTTGAGGTATCTTCCATTCAAATATATTTCACTTCACAACTGAGGCACATTTGTTTTTGTGAGGATTGGTAACAAGACAGATCTGTCTTTTCTTTTTCTTTTGGTTTTTTGAAACAGGGTTTCACTGTTCAACCTTGGCTGTCCTGAGACTCCCTCTATAGAACACTCACAGAGATCCACCTGCCTCTGCCTCCCAAGCGCTGGTATTAAAGGTGTGCACCACCACTGCCCTTCGAAAAATCTTTCATTACCTAGTGCAATACAGAACCACTAAAAAACTAAAAAGTAATTTATGATTCTTACTAGTTATTTCTCAATTCTATGAAACTAAAACATTAAGCTGCACACAGATAAATGTTCCAGACATAGCCTTACTTCCAGGAAACACACTTTGTTTTTGTGTTTTGTGGTTCAAGGAAGTTTTGAGCCATGCGGGCAGAGAGAAATAGACAGAGAGGGACAGAGAGACAGTGGGAGAGTGTAGGAGAAGAGATGAAGGGGGATCCACGCTTTGTTTCGTACAGTTAACAAAGTCTTTAAGTTGTAACTGTTTTGTATTTGTAAATTGGGAAGTTTAGGTATGGATGGGAACATTCCTCTGTTATTAAATGCATGTCACTTAAATGTGTTCTAGAGTGTAGAAAGTTGGCTTTATCCTGTTTCTTTTTGTTGTTATAGAATATCCAATCCACAAACTGGCAGACAATGAGGTTTAAGCCCCCTCCTCCAAACTCAGATATTGGATGGAGAGTAGAGTTCCGACCCATGGAGGTGAGACCCGTTTCAGCTCAGAAGCTGCCTTCTGGCTGCTCCCCAGCCTTCTAATGCTCTTCTCTGAGGGCTGTGAGTTCATTCAAAAGCAGTAGGAATCCAAGTGTGCATATTAATAGCAACTCCAAAAGCCACTGGGAGTTGATATCAGAGTGTGGACCTGGATAGAAGGCTTCTAGCCTCAAATGGGGAAGATGAAAGTGCTTGGAAATAATGTAGTTGAAGGGCTAGGGAGGGGGAAGCAGGAGCCAACACTTGATTCCTAACATCTCTGGTCTTCCTCTATAGGTGCAGTTAACAGACTTTGAGAACTCTGCCTATGTGGTATTTGTGGTTCTGCTCACCAGGGTGATTCTCTCATACAAACTGGATTTCCTCATTCCACTGTCCAAGGTAACCATGGGTACGATCACATAGACAATGCGATGAACATAGACAATGCAGATTTAATTACTTGCTTGTATTCACTGCCTAGTTCCAACCTGTCTTTACATTGACTTCTTTTACCTGTTGGGATAAACTGTCTCTATTTGGCTCTTGTTTTCCTGGTAAGCCTGAATTTAAGGCTTTGTTTAAAAACAGTAGCTGGGGGCAGTCTCACAAAGTGGAGCCCTCTCCCTCTCCCAATTCCATTGGTTCTACCATGTCAAAATTAGGTTGACTGGTGGGCTTACTGATAGAATTAGGGAAGCTGTTATTGCAACCAAACTTGTTATGTTTGTGGAGGATGTAATGGCACTGAATTTTACCAAGTTAAGGATCACAAATCCCCACCCCCACAAAGAACAGAGAAGAGGCTTTCTGGAGGAAGTTGGCCAGCCAAACTTTGGAGCACGTCTTGCTCAGGCCACAAAGCTGTGTAATCTGGAGAAGCCCTTAAGGTTGTCAAGGCCATGGGTATGGGGCAAGTGGTCCTCTTGACATAATAATGGATGTGAGAGACTGCTGACTGGAGTGAGGGATCTGCTGCTGTGGACTCCTGTCAAGAAGTTAGGCCACAGACGAATTGGAGCAGCTGTGTCATAGCAAACCCAGAAGGAATTCTAGAGGTTTGTGTTACTGTGGGTGTGTCTGCTAGTTAAGTCAAATCCACCCAGTGAAAGTCCCTGTGAGCTACCCTTCAGGCTTCTGTTTGTGAACATGAGTACATGCCCCAAAGCTGACAGAAAATTAAGAAAAAAATATCCCTAAGAGAGGACTCTGCACTTGGACAGTCCTTAGTGAGGCAGTTAACCCAGAGCCCAAACCTAGGAATTTTGTCTCAGCAGAGATGTTCTGGAAGGAGACTTTAGTGTGCACACCTGCAGGAGAGAAAAGGAACTGGCCTTACTTCTTCACTGAAATTAAAGCCAGAGAAATGGACAGACCACTGGTCGTTCCCTGCCCAGCACAGTGATTTCTGTCTCATGTATAATTTAGTGTACATCCTAGTTTGCTTTTTGTGACTGATGAACACCATAAGCAAAAGCAACTTAGGGAGAACAAGTTTATTTTCTCTTAGGATTCCCAGGTCATAATTGAACATGAGGAAAGTCAGGCCAGGTGCTTAAGGCTTGCTGGCTTAGCAGCCTGCTTTCTTACATGGCCCAGGACCACCTGTCCAGGGGCGGCACCATCCATGGCAAGAAAATACCCCACAGACTTGCCTACAGGCCAGTCTAATAGAAGTGGTTTGTGACGCTGGCTTGTATCAAGTTGTTGTAAAAACAGCTAGCACAGTGTGTGGTTGGGTAGGGCAGGAAGCCAATATTCACCACACGGTTCACATGTAAAAGTCAGAAGACAGCTCACAAGACTTGGTTCTTTGTCTCTTTGCATGTGGGTTTTGGGAATTGAACTCAGATTGTCAGGCTTGGCAGCAGGTGCCTTGCCGTGAGCTCCCATCTAAGTGATTTCTAAAAAAAAAAAAAGTTAATTTAAATCTAAAGTGTACCAGAACTCCTGTTTCGCATTGCTAGTCTGTTGAGGCTGCTGTGCTCATAAACTGAATGGTACTCTCAGGGCAGAAATTGATATCTTGCCATCCTTGGGACTAGAAGCCCCAGATGACAGCGTGCGGATGCTGTGTGGTCAGGGCTGCTCTCATTCTTCCATGATCCATTCTCCGTGCGTCCACAGGCAGATGAGAGAGGGCCCTGGCCAGCTGCGGGGAACCAAGCAGGTGCCCTTCAACTCGCTTATACTCCACTGTAGTCTGAGATCTTGAATAAGGTCTGTTCCCATTCCAAAGGGCAAAAAGCCTCCCAGCGTTCTAACCCTGTCACACTGGATTAGGTGGCATTGTATGGGCTCGGGGTGACACAGATGTTCACATTTGGGCATGTGCATTCTAATGCCAGATATCTAGAGAGCACTACTTTTAAAACTTTAAAAACAAGGGAATTGGGCTGGAGAGCTAGGTCAGCAGTTAACAGCACTAACTGTTGTTGCAGAGGACCAGGGTTTGGCCTCAGCCTTCACATGGTCACCACCAGCTGTAACTGTAGTTCTGGGGAGTCCAGCACCCAGTTGTGGTCTCAGCGGGCACTGTGTACACATGGCACACTTAAATTCATGCGGATAAAACACAAAAATAAGGAACCTTTTTAAAAAGGTAAAAAGAAAACACAGCTGCAAGATGGCTCAGTGGGTAGGGTGCATGTCAGTGAGCCCGGTGACCCGAGTTCAGATCCCTGGGATCTACATGGTGAAAACTAGAACCGACTCCTGCAAGTTGTCCTCTGACTACCACATGTGTATCATGTGTGCCCTACACACACTAAATAAGTAAATTGACACAATTTGAGTTAAAAATAAGACATCTGAAAGTAAAGCTCACTGGCGGAGCCCCTGCCGTACCTGTATACATATATTTATATGTAGCCGTTAGTCAGCAGTGGCAGGGTATGATAATGAACCTAAGATCTCAAGTATTTGGGAAGCTGAGGCAGGACGATCACAAATTCAAGGCCTCCTTGGCTCCATAAGCAAAATCCTATGTCAAGCATAATAAATAAAGAAAAACAAACAGTATGAAAGCAGCATGTTAATTCTAAGTGACTGGATAAAGAGCAAGCAAAGAAAGAAAGAAAATATTTTAGTGTTATAAAAGTGGAGTAAGGAAGGCAGTGTGAAGACAAATTGCAGAAGGGGAAGACAGTGAAGATAAATGAAGACAAAAACAGGACTGGAGAGATGGATGTGCAGGTAAAGGCACTTGCCTCCCAGGAAAGAGAGAACTGAATTCCATACAAGATGCATTCACACACACACACACACAGAGAGAGAGAGAGAGAGAGAGAGAGAGAGAGAGAGAGAGAGAGAGAGATAAATACATGTAAAAATGTTTCTAAGAAGAAACAGGTAACATCAAATTGTGACCCTCCAGTATGTGTTGCTTTTGTAAGACATTCCCCGAACAAGGCCAAATCAAGTGTGAGGTAGTCAGTGTCGTGTGAGCTAGTGACAGCAGCGCTGACTGCTTGTCATCATTTGTGACGATGGCACTGGCTGCGCAGCGAAGTGCAGTGGCTTTCTGAGAAGCATTTAATGTGGTGGGCAGGAAATGCGCGAGATAGGAACTAAACTTGAAAGCTGTTTATACTGTGGACAGGTAGCTTACGATCTCAGTGTTTTCTTCCACGTAGAGAGCAGGGCCAGAGAGCTCCCCATAGGTAACAGGCTGTTATATCACTGGTCAGACTCTCCTACCTTTAATCTCTGGCTGAAGGGCCATAAGGAATTAAATGATGGTTAGCAAGTTTAGTTGTGTAGGCTAGATCAGATATGTCAAGCCAAAGAGTATCTTCTGTTCACATGCCTTGTAGAATGGTAAAAATTAATCAAGAAAGTTGTTCACTTCTCAAAAGTAGATGTTATCCAAAATGCATTTCCACTAAAAGTCAACAAAATAGCATTCAAGAAAAATTTCCTATTGAAAGTTTAAAGTGTCTTTCCTAATAGGTCTTGAAGGAGGCTAAAACTTAAACGACTGATGGGCAGGAAAATTAATGGCGTGAATGTTGGTGGAACAAAACTAATGAAAACCAAGTATCATAAGACCCCAAACCTTAGAGATGCCCACAGCTACAGTTGAATTTTAGCCTGTTACTTAGGCGTGTGTCTAGAAGTGGCTAGATGTTCAGAAGGTCTTGCAGTATCATTTTAAAGCATCAAAGGAGTAACAGTAGGATTCTTTCCATAATAGGTGTGCAAGGAGGTTAAATAATCACAAAAGACTCTGTCAGCAGGCTGGGGAGATGGTTGTCTGGGCAAAGTGTAGACCCTCTCCACAAGCAGGGTGTGGAGCGCACTACTAGAAACTGAGTTCTGGTGGGGGGGGGCAGGCAGGATGGGATAGGTGGAACCCTGGCTCGGGCCAGCCTGCCCGTCTAGCAGAAATGAAGAGTTTCAAGTTCACAAAGGGCTGTGACTAAGAAAGACACCCCAACATCAACTCTGGTGTCTACCCTGGCCCTCCACCTGATGTTTGTATTATGTATTAGGCCTGCACATAAGATAGCACTATAGTCATTGGAGCACTGGCTACTCTTCCAGAAGACCTGGGTTCAGTTTCCAGCACCAACATGGCAGCTCACAACCATTTGAAATTCTAGTCTGATGGGATCCGATGTCTTCTACCTCCAAAAGCACTGCACAAACATGGTGGACACATATACGTGCAGATAAAACACACACATAAAATGGGGGGAGGGGATAAAGATAACGTCGTAGAAAATGCAGCTACTTTAAAGGTTTGCTTACCCTCAGGTCTTAAAAACAATTGTTGGGGAATTGAGAATTCATAAATGAGTTACCCGGTAGGCAAGTGGCATTGGTGATTCTGCCCATGGTGGGCTGCCTAGTACTAGCAACCTAGCAGCCTCCTGGCCTTGTGCTCACTAGGTGAGGCAGGGCTAGTAAGAACACTGACTTTGAGACCGGGAGAGCCAGGATATTAGGTGCATTTTTACTTGGTTTGCTTTATAAAGTAAGCTTCCCTAAATTCCTGTTGTTTTGCACAGATACTATGTGATGTTTTCCTACTGTGAAGGACTGAAGGGAGCAGAATTCTAAGGGGAGTGATGAAGGCACTGGCTTGTTTGATCTAAGATATACTGACTTAGTCCAAATTTTTTTCTCATTAGGTTGATGAAAACATGAAAGTGGCACAGAAGCGAGATGCTGTCTTGCAGGGGATGTTTTATTTCAGGAAAGACATTTGCAAAGGTATCGCGTGTTCGGGTTTCTAGGGTCAGCTTATACTGAAAAAGCTGCTGAAGCTCGTCTGTGCTCCTTGGTTGGCAGGTGGCAACGCTGTGGTGGATGGGTGTAGCAAGGCGCAGACCAGCTCCGAGCCAGCAGCAGAGGAGTACGCCCTCATGAGCATCGACACGATCATCAACGGGAAGGTACGGCCTGAACGGGGCTCTGTGCTGAAAGGCCGGCCGGCAGAGTTTATAGTGTGTTCTTCTTGTAGGAAGGGGTGTTTCCTGGACTCATCCCCATCCTCAACTCCTATCTTGAAAACATGGAAGTAGATGTGGACACCAGATGCAGTATTCTGAACTACCTGAAGCTGATTAAGAAGAGAGCATCTGGTATAGTAGATTTGTTTCCTTTTCTTCATCTGGTCGTTTTGCTCTTTGGTTTTATAACCTGCTTGACCATGTGTCACACTTTAGCCATGCTCCTGTTTTACACATTTTACTAATTACAGTTGCATACCTTTTACAGTCTTAGCCTCACAGTTGAAATTGAGAGAGCTTCTTTTTTTCCTTACTGGCTTTTGAAATAGTGGTGTATTTTTAAAGGTGGCCTCTTCGATGAGGAGTGGTATCAGCTGTGTATCACACATCACTGTGAACTTTTGCCAGGCCAAGTAACCACGCACAGTCAGGCTGTACCTCTGGCGTGTGTACAGCTCTTGGGTCCTTCTATACAGTGCCCTCCCCGCCCCACCAGGACCTTTCTTTGAGTCAGTTTTGAGACCTCATTTACAATGCCTCGCTAGCCTTGCTGGTCCTTACACACAGAACAGCTCATGCAAACCTCAGTGGGAATGCTGACAGCACCTAGACAAAGGTCGTCTGTAAGAGCACATCACATCCTGGCTGCACCTGCAGCTTCCTCTTAGTCCACGTTCTCAGCACTGTAGGGACCCTGTAGTCCTTTGAAGTAGTTACGTAACACCATCATCTGTACACATAGCCCCCTAGCCAAGGAGGCTAACCCGCTTCTTACAAACAACACTGACCCTCTGTCCCTTAAGAGCTGGTAGTGCCAGCCTTATTGGTGCCATCCAACTAGGTACATACATATGTGTTGCTGCCTGCAAACTGCCATTTGTCCCCAGTAGGAATCCTTGGAAGAGTAAAAGCTCTTCCTGTGTGATACTCCCAGGTCATGATGACCTCATTTCAGAGGAGCATGTTCAGTAGCCATTAGATACCTACTTTTTAAAAAAAATAATCTATTTAATTTTATTTTATGTGCACTAGTGGGAAGGTGTCAGATCCCTTGGAATTGGCGGTACAGACAGTTTGAGCTGCCATGTGGGTGCTGGGAATTGAACCTGAGTCCTTGGGAAGAGCAGACAATGCTCTTAACCACTGAGCCATCTCTCCAGCCCTAAATATCTACTTCTTAAAACACCTCATTTTTTTCTTCAGGAGAACTAATGACTGTTGCCAGGTGGATGAGAGAGTTTATCGCAAACCATCCTGACTACAAGCAAGACAGTGTAGTAACTGATGAGATTAACTATAGCCTCATTTTGAAGTGTAACCAAATTGCAAATGAATTATGTGAATGTCCAGAGTTACTCGGATCAGGATTTAGAAAAGCCAAGTATAGTGGAGGCAGAAGTGACCCTTCGAACTAGACATCCAGCAGAAAGCGGATGTGTCACCGTCAGTGAGTGACAGGTGCAGCACTGACTCTTGGCCGACCAGATGCTGCGAAGACCAAGATGGCCTGCAGTGTCGCTGCGCCGTTGGCTAGCCGGTGACTAGAAGCTTTCTTCAGTAGGTAAATCTGAGTTTGTACATGTGTATACTAAAGTATTTTTATGATTAACAATGTATTTTAATAACATTGTATCTAAAGTCATAGTGAACTGGCTTGTACATTTTTGAATTCTTACTCTGGAGCAACTACTGTCTAAGCATTTTGTAAATGTAATTGTACAATAATAACTGCATTCCAGAGTTTCAAATGTTTACTGTAAATCTTTAATACTACCTGGGACCTGATTCACTGAAATTTATTTTAAAAAAACAACAACAAAAAATGCTTTCTCATAACTGTTTTTTGAGTTGCCTCCTTTGCTGTGTAGGTAAAATCACTGGACTGCACTGACGCCCTCTGAGGGTGAGGCACCTCACCAGTGATGTTTCCTTTCCAGAGCAGCCCCACTCTCAGCCGAACTGAACTCCGATGGCTCTTAGAGAGAAGCTCCTTCGGGATTAGCCTAAATACACAAACTCAGAGTTTGTGCTTAGAGAATATGAGGGGTAATTTTGTTTCATCTGAAAAGGGAAATCGTTTCCTCGTATACACACCGAGCTGTCAAGAGCAGGTGTCTGCTCCTGTGTTCACCGGTTGTATGACCGCCGTGCTAGTGAACGGTCGAGTCAGCGCAGCGGCAAGGTTTTGTTGTTCACTCTCTGGTTTGCAGTAAGCATACTGGCAGGCTGTCTTGTACCCGCCACTCATTTCATTCCAGATTTTCCCTGGGGAGTATTCTGCATTCTGCTCGCTTTCTCTATAAAACTCACAAATCAATCATGAAATGCACTAATTTTTGTGAATCAGGACCCTAAATGTTTAATTGTAAATAATTTGTTTCATATATTGCTTCAGCTTTGTGTTATCTTTTTCATTGTTAACTAATTAACTACTTCTCAAATAACTGTACTGTAGATTAAGACAGGCTTTATGGATATAAATAGTGACACTGTAATGCTGATTTTTAAAGATTGCAATAAAGTGGCTTCAGCTTAACTTTAAAGATTGGGATTGGCTCTATATCTCATTTACTTTGGAAAGTTAAAAAAAAATTCCTTTTTTTTTCCCCCTCTACAGTTCCCTTATGTAAATCAGGTTGTAAAAAGTATAAAATGTTTGTAGATTTGAGAAAATAAAAAGAATCAAATTCATATTTTTAAGCTAGTGCGTGTATCAGTTTTTTCAAGGGTTTTTAGATTGGGTTGGGAGAACACTTTTGTTGTTGTTTTTGGTTTTGTTTTTATTTTTAACTGTGTTCTGGCTACTGGTTTATATCCACTATTCAGATCAGGCTGACCTTGAACTCACAGAGACCCACCTGTCTCTACCTCCTTAATACTGTTAAACGCATGTGCCAATACACCTAGCCTTGGCTGGGAGGATCTTTAGCTAGGCCAGGTTGTATGATGTCACTTCATCATTGCAGCTCTACAATCCTCTAAGAGGAAGACTGGTAATAAACTCAGACCGATCTCCCTCAGCTAGCTTTCACACACACCGCAGCCCCCTGGAGTTACAAAAGACCTGATACGCTGATATGCTACTTTGTCATTTGAAAGTGAATTTTTCTTTTACTCTGAGCCACTCTCATGCTGCTGGGCCAGTGATGACCTGGGAAAAGCATTCTGCGCTGGACACACGTAGACTGAGGGATCAGCCAACACGGCAGAGCTGTTTTCCACCTGCAGAGCAGTGGCCATACTCGTCTCCCCTCACACACACCAAGTTCACGGCCACACCTTGGTGCATACAAAACTGAGACAAGTGCAACCCAGACATAAAGGAGAGCCACAGTACCTATATCTGGAGAGTTCCTTCCAAAGGAGTACTCTCCTCAGGCAAAAGAAGCACAAAAAGGGTTTTTATTTTGTTCAGGGACCCCATTCAGAAAAGTCCTTTAGGGACATTTTCCAAGCATGCTCGATTCAAGGTGATAATTTAAGAAGGAAAATGGATATGCTTAGTTGGAGATTATGGTACACAAGTTTGAGCGGTGGAAATAGAAGACAAAAACATTTTTTGAGCTTTCATCAAAATTTTAGGTGTTAATAAAGGAAAAGACAAGTAGAAGGTGCGTTAACGAAGGAGTGTGCTCCCCCAAAGGGCTTTCTCTTGCTCACCTTCCTCTAGGCAGGACACTTAGGGCTATACCTTCTTCACATGAACCCTGCCAGCACTTAACACTGTAATCTCTTCAACAGTCTACATGTCCACATTCGTCTGCACATCACACAAGTTACTCGACATTACCATTTCACACCCAGGATACAGACACATGCTCGTAAAGCGCCAACACATGCCTTCGGTATATGTCTAGGTTGTTCTCTTGCTAAATTTTAAACCAGGGAGGGGTCAGCCTATTCGATATGCTCTTCCTCTTCTCTCTGAGACAGGGCAAGGATGGCACACAGTTCATGAGCTTTACCATTCAGACACAACATCCAGGGTTGTAAGCTGAATATAACACTGACATGAACAAAGATGTCTTGTCTTTGCTGGCTTGTAAGCTAATAAAATGATTTTAAAGGAGTTTGGATGGAAATACTGCACATTCGTGAACAATGCTGAGAAGACAAGTTATTAAGTGAAAATTTCAGTGACAGCACGGGATACTTTGTATGAGTCACTGCTCAGAGAGGCCCCAGAGGCCCCCAAAACAATACGGGTCATTGCCATTGCTCTTGGTTGCCCAGCAAGGTGTTAAGACCCTATTCTTGAAGGTTGCACAGTCTTCGATTGCAGGCACAGAAAACGTAAACTGGCCAGGAAGCTCTGGGCCTGCCTGCCTGCTTGCTCTTACAGTGCCAGAAGGGGCTGTGTGGACTCCCCGGGAGGAAAAGACCCAGTCATCTTGCCCGGTGGTGGGCTGGACTGCGTGCTGCCATGTGAGCTGCCCACAGGAGCAGCAGTGGCAAGACTATTAGATTTGAGGCCTGCTCCACAGAAGGGGATCCATGCCTGGTGCTGGAAACGTGCTCAAAAATCACTGCCAGAGGAGTTTTTTTTTTTAAAAGCCCAGGCGAGAACCTCTTGCTGTTTAAAGAGATCACGTTGTCAGACTGCCCCCCCCCCCCACGTTATATTTAGACCCAAAGACTGGGCCTTCAGTCTCGGAGAAGCTGCTTGCTGCGGTGGGTGGTGTGGTCAGCACAGGGTGCTTGGCTGATCACAGTGCTGAGAGGGCAGCTGAGGGCTGGGCTGTTGACGGGGGTAGCTCAACACCCTTGCCCTAAGGCTCAGAGAATTTCCCAGAACAGAAAGGACGTGAAAGCTGGAGGAGGCCTGGGAGTGCCGTCTTAGGGACATGACATGGCTGCTGCACGCATGAACTCAGCAGCTGTTAATGACCCACACAAATCAAGACAGTTCAAAATTCCAGGAAGAGGAAGGGAGGGTCGTCCTAGGCCCCACCTCTAGCAGGGGAGCAATGTGCAGTTGAGGGGTGCTGCGGGAGGGTAGTTACTTTTGGGGAATGTCACTGGTAGTTTCCCCATGGCCCAGTGGAAGGCCTTACAGCTATGCACATCTGGACAGCATTAACTGAGTTAAAAACAAATACATTAATTGAGTTAAAGACAAATTATAAAATTACAGAGTTGGGAGGGTGCTGTAATGAGGGGTTCTGTGGAGAGCTGGAGGGAAGGAAGGGTGGTTATGATCAAGATATATACTATACATAATCTTCAAAGACTATAATGAAAATTAACATAAAAAAACAAAACCATGGCCTCACCTGGACTCTGCACTCTCTTAGACACTGCCTTTCCTGCCTGCTTCTAACCTCTTGGTCACGTGGGGACCAAGTGATGCGTGGATTCCCCTTGTTTCCAAGATGCATCTACCGGAGACTAAGCACACGCTGGTCTCTTAAGCCAATGCCTAATTGAAAAAGTGAGTCTCACAGATGTCTGGGTTTTGGTATGACAAGGCCCAAGCTGCAGAGGAAAGGTGAAAGATCCCTCTAGGTTAATAGAGAAAGAAGATGGTAGTGAGCCTGTGAGGCCAGGGGCTTTCAAAGTTGGCTTAGGAGGCTTCTCAGAGCTTCCAGCAAGCTCCTTGGTCACAGGACTGTCACAGGTTCTGGTCATGGCTCCCATTGAGGTTAGTTGGGATCATCATTCTTCTCTGAAGACAGGTGCCTAAGATCTACCCTCTGCTCCCCTCTTCCGAGTTAGCATTCCACCTTCTCCATAAACACCCTTGGAGTGCACAGCAAATGATACTTAGAACAGTAAAAGTTGGAAGGGTCCTCGGTTCAGACGCCAGGACAACACTGTAGTTGTTGACATCATTGTAGTTGATTTGGCCTCATTTCTTGGTTCTGGAGACAGAAAATCCAGGCTCAAACATTAGCACGTGGGGCTCCTGGTGAGAGCTCTTCCTGACTTGAAGATTAACTTTCCTTCTGTTCTGATGGATGGTGCAGGCCTCTTCTGATGACAGCCTTGATCCCATTTATACAAGCTCCCACCATCTGAGCCTAATTACTCCCTTTAAGTTCCCACCCACCATGTAAACCCCAGGGCGAGTTAGGCATTTGGGGGGGGGGATACACATCCAGTCTGCAAAAGAAAGGAAGTGTGGAAACCAGGCCTGGAAGTGAGGCCTTGCTCCAGCCTTGGCTGGGAAAGGTACATCCTTGAACTGCGTGATAAGCAGAGGCCATAACGTGGCAACCCCTTCTCACTCTAAACATCTTTGGGATGCATTATGCAGAAGTACGGGAGATGCACTGAGGAAGAACAGTGTCGCCATGAAGTGAACTAGGCTGCTGTAGCCCACATTTGTCCCCAAGTGAGAGAAGCCAGACAGATACAGTGCACACTGCGTGGGCTCCATGAGCAGTTCTGGGTTCCCAGTAGTTACCTCCGGAGTGAACAGCACTGACTGGGGGGCGGGGGGCAGGGTTGGTTTCTTCCCTAATCTGGGTGATGAGTCAGTGTGCTGAAAAGTGAGAGGGCTGTACAGTTAGGATGAGGGTACTTTATGTACTTCACGGCAAACAAACAAACAAACAAACAAAATGGGTAAAATTTATACAGTTAAAGAGGGGGAAGGCAAAACCTATCCCACAGTCCTCCTGTGGTATGTGTATGGAATAATTGCCTCTTCCCCCTGCTCCTCCTCCTAAATTAGCCTCCAACTCACTCCTCGGCCTCAGCCTACTGAGTGCTGAAATCACAAATGTGCCACCACACTTAGTCTCAAAGTGACTATTTCTTTTGAGATTGTTCTTTCATGTTTATGTATGTGAATGCATGTGTGGGGCCAAGCACATGTGTGTGTGTGTGTGTGTGTGTGTGTGTGTGTGTGTGTGTGTGTGTGGTCCTAAAGTTGATGCTGGAAATCTTCCTTGATTATTCTTCCACCTTATTCTTTGAGGCGGGTCTCTTAGTCAAGCCCAGAACTCACCCGTGTGGCCAGTCACTGGTAAGCTTGCCCCAGGACTCTCCCGCCTTCTGACTGCAGAAATTACTGGCTGTGTCCACCCAGCATTATGTGGGTTCTTGGGACCAGAACTCCAGCCTTCTTGCTTTGGTGGCCACTGAGCCTTCTCCCTGGCTGCATAAGAGCTCTCCTCCTACCTCATACACATGAAGCCCTCCTTGCGGTGTCTTAAAGCCTTTCTGAGATGGCATCACTTCCCAGTCTAGGAAGCTTATGAGAACTGGGTTCAAACAGGACACAAGCACCTATATGTTGGGGTGATCTTTTTGTGCACTGTGTAGGGATTGTCTTTGTATTATTCAAACACTGATCTCTGTACCAGCAGAGATCTGATTACAGGTGGCACCGTCAGTATTGTCATTCTTCAACTGTGTCATATGTTGTAAACACTCCAAGCACCTTCTGATTGGCTTAAGAAAGAACAGAATGGCCAAAAACAAAGGCAGGAGAGGAGGGCAGGACTTCAGAGTAGAGACAGGAATCCTGGGAAAGAATCAGAGGGGTGGGAGGTGGGGAAGGAGGGATGCCACATGGCAGGATGTAGGCCAGGCCAGTATTGCTGGGTCAGAATAGCAGAGAATCTGCACAGCTATAATGCCTAAGCAAATAATATACGTCTATGTGTCATTATTCAGGAGCTGGTACAAAAAAGAAAGTTTTGTCATAGCAGAAAGAAAAGAAAGGAAGGAAGGAAGGAAGGAAGGAAGGAAGG